TTAGATTGTGGAGAGAAGTACACAGAGGACAGTTCAATGGGGAGTGCGTCAAATATAAAGAATTAAACAAACAACTGTTAAATGTGGATAATTTGCAGTCATCAAGAATCTTGTGGGACTCAGACTACATATGGGCGCAAGACTGGATAATTTAAAAGCAACTCAGTTTACTGTGAGTATTATTAAATAATGTAATAACCAAGTAATGATTACTTTTGTAAATATAAGTGGGTTTAAACTAGTTAATAGGTAAAACATTTTATGTGTGTGGACAAAAATATCACTTTCCATTTTTAAGGTAATATAAATAATTAGTGTATAACTGTATCTATAGGTAGATATAAATACTGATAGGTTCTTACTTTCTGAAAAGCCAATACTTAAAACATTTTTCAGCATCTGAGAGTTTGATATTTCTATTTTTTATTTTTTATAATAGATATGTGAATATAGCAGGGCAAACTTGTTTTCTCATAAATATTTTCAGTCCAACATAACACACATATGTAAACTATAGTGGAATGAGTTTGAATAGCTCACCCAGAAAATGGTTCTCTAAGTATAAACATAAAAAATATGAGTTCCTCATGAATAAAACATGCATTTTGTATTTTCTGTCCTAACCAATGCCAAGGTCTACTCAACAAAAATCTCATGCTTGTTAGTAGAGCAAAAATTAGGATTCCCTTGCATACATATGTCTATACTTACTATATTTACACACACACACATAGAAAAATGAGATTGATATATTCTTTTGTTTTATACGTGATATATTGATATGTGTGTTTTAAAAGACAATCTACACAAATGAAAATAACACAGAGCAATTAAACTTTCCTGGCACTAGAGGTCACTAAAACCAGATTACAGACAGAAGGGCTGCATTCTGCTAAATCCACAGAGCAGAACAGAGCTTGTCTACAGTCCAATATGCTGTGATAAGGAACCAAAGCAAACTCAGTTTTTAGGAATATCCAAATCACAACACAAAGCACTGCAAATTCAAACTTCAAATTGGAAAATAATCAACAAAATGACTGGTATTCAAATCAAGTTAATAAGAAGGAAAATGAATGTTTCCCCTGTTTATAACAGCTGTGCACGTTGATTTTAAATGAAGTTATCGAGCCTTAACCTTTGCTGTTTATTTGTTTTGCATTTCAAAGACCACACCGGAGCAAGTGTCAAATCTTTTCAGTATATCTGGGAATAAACAAGTGAATTGGGTGGAGTCAGGTGAGGGTGGGGGGAGAAGATTGACGGGTGATGTATGTACAGACACTGCTGCTGGTGACGCCACCATCAAAGTGGCCATTGGTGACCAGGCAGAGTGATGAGCTGTGCCGTACAAGAGAAGCTTTGCTTGGTAGTCACTGACTGCTGGGCCTACTTACGGATTTTCTGTTTGATAGCCCAGGAGACTTCTTGTGTTTGGAGCTGGGAAAAGTCACCCATTTTCTAATGGCTTTCTGCTGTTGCTCCCTAGCATTGACTTTGAGGAAGCAGATTACTGAGATAGTCCCTTTAAACAGCAACCATTTTCCTTTGTGAGTCCAACTGCTCCCTGTGCCAGGTTTCCTAGCCCCAAAGAGTGTGGAAACATCTGCAGTTAGGTTGTAGATTAACTTTAAATGCATGGACAGCCAGCTACTAAATGGAACACTGGCCTCTTTAAACACCGGCATGGTTTGGCAGTCAAGGGTATAGGTCCTTACTTATATGTGGAATCTAATGAACAAAATAAAGTGAGGAACAAAATAGAAACAGAGGCATGGATACATGGAAGAGACTGACAGCTGTCAGATGGGAGAAGGGAGGAGGGACTGGATGAAAGAATGTGAAGGGATTAGCCAAAACAAACAAACAAACAAACAAACAAACAAACACATATATACATAACACATAGACACATGCAACAATGTGTGATAGCCAGAGGGAATGGAGGGGTGAATGGAGATAGAGACTTCGCTTGGGGTGATTGGCTCACAATGCAGTGCACAGATGTTTTTTTGAGTTATACACTTGAAACCTGTATGGTTTGTGAATCAATGTCATCCCAATAAGTTCAATTAATAAAAATAAAATAAAAATACATTTAAACAAAAGAGTATAGGTCTTTGGTCACTGATGTTACAAGTACAAGTGCCATGTAGAAGGGTATAGACTTCTTTTGGCCCCAAACACCCTGCACGTTAAATTAGGTAGCTGGACAATGTGGTCTCAAATATCATAAATGTAATGATCAATGAGTATGAGTCCTGCCTGACAAGAACAATCACATTATTGAGTTAGGCTAGGAACTATGCAAATAATTTTGAGGAATTTTCATGACAAAAACAATTAGTACTTCCCATAATATTATCTATGCAAAGGTATGGCAATTGTAAAATTTTATGATATTTTCTAATATTTCATATATTTTTGGAAAGAACTTTTAAAAAACCTACTTGGTTAGGCCATTAGAGACTTTTAGTGATATCTTTAATAAACAAAAGGGAAAAAGATTGAATTATCATGTACCTTCTATTTTCCTTCAAAATCCAGAAAGCTATTTGAGATGCTCGAGGGCAAGAATAAACAATCCCACATCACCAGCACCTAGCTCAGAAAGCACTAGGAGTGTGTGCTTAACGCATCCATCAAACAGAGTCAGCTTGTTAATTAACAACCTGATGATAACCATGGTTTGGGGACTTGGATGAGGTCAGTTTACGGACTTTATTTTGTTATAATTGAAAATCCAACACATGAATGAGTCCTCGGCTTTTGGGGGGAAGAGGTGAACTTTAGTGGTTCTTCTTTTGGAGAATATTTAAGTGTCCACCAAATGAAAGAAGAAAGAAGGCAGAAAAAATATTGTCATGATTTCTCCTTTTCCTTCCTCCTATTACACTTTACATGCTAGTCACATATCAAATTAGCACAGAATTTATTGTGGAGACATTTTAATTAAATTAATTGATCTTATTTTGAAATAGTAGAAATAATTACTTAATAGTCCTGCTTTGCCTATAGGATTATTGAATAAACTAAATAATAAATGGCAATTTTAAAAAGGCTGAAGAGATAATTATTTAAGTTCAATATTCAAATGTTACTAAATTAATCAGAACCTATGATGCTTCCATAGAGTATTTACATCTCAACAGAAAAAAAATTTCAGCCCGTCTGGTGTGGCTCAGCGATTGAGTGTTGACCTAGGAACCAGGAGGTCCAAGTTCGATTCCCGGTCAAGGGCACATACCCCGGATGGTGGGCTCAATCCCAGTGTAGGGCGTGAATGAGACAGCCAATCAATGACTTGCTCTCATCATTGACATTTCTATCTCTCTTCTTCTCCCTTCCTCTCTGAAATCAATAAAAATGAATTTTAAAAAATTCATAAGGAGACATTTAAAACAGGTGAGCCTGCTGAGACTCTTTCCTTCCATCACCCCCCCCTTCCTCTATTCATTCACAAAAATTATTAAGGGCCAATATGTTCCAGATACCATTTAGGCTCAGGAAATGCAACAATGAGAAAGGAGACACTGTCCTGGCCTCACAGAGGTTACTGTGAATGGAAGAAGAGTGTCAATCAAGTAAACAAACAATAATGACATAGTGAGTTTCATGCCAGGATAGAGGAGTTTAGAGACCCTTGTGACACAGATGCTCATCTCTTTTCTGTCAATTTGCCATGTGGAAGTTACTCAATAAATATGTGCTGAATTATACGAGCTGAGTAATTGGGACTGAATGAAAGTAGTCATCATGGGAAAAGAAAGGGAGGCATGGGTAAATATTTTTTCCCCACTGATGATAGTTTCATGCTCAGCCAAGAATCAGGTATCTTGCAGAAACTGAAGAGGGGTAGGCAGGGTGACAAGTCTCCACTCACAGGAACTAAGATTTCTACCGCATTTTGTGAGCTGCGGAGAGATGCAGCAAGAGCTCGGGGCACAACAAGGGGGATGAGATGACACAGGACCAGATGTGGGAAAACAAAGTTTACTTCAGCCTAAATTGTGTGGCAGTGAGCTAGCTTTTACCCATAAATTCTCCGGAAAGATATATTTTTATTTCACGATTTCCGTGTGAGGAAGTCACAAAGGGTGCCTATTTTAGGAAAAGAGGTGGGCAGGCGCATGTAGGGTATATGGCACACAGTGACTTTTTTGGTCTAGGACAGAGACCAGAACAGAGAAAATCTCATGATGGCCTCGGAGTTTGTTAGAAATTTGTGATCCATCAGGAGCTGAGTTGCTTGCATTAAGTCTCATTCGTAACTGGTCACTCTGATAAGCTGACAAAACAAGTGACTTCCACATACAGGATAGTTCATACATTCAAGGTATTAAACCTGTTTTATTTTAGTTTAAAACCCTGATTTATCTCTTTCTGACAGCACATCTCACGGTTCCTTCTGGCTTCTTGCTACATTAGAGCAATCACGAATGCCAAGGTTTGATGGGCACTGTGAGGACTCTTCTCCATAGTCTGCTGTCCGTGTGGGGCTTTCTGATATGATTGATTGTGGCACAGAGGCATTCTCCATAGAAAGATTAATTGCTTCAGAAATTATCCATTACTGAATGGTTGACCGTGACTCCACACTTTTTATTCCTACTTAAGCAAGCAGTTCCTGTGTTAGGTTAATTTATTTTCTCCCTCTCTTTTTAACTAGTCAATATTTATTTTACTTTTATCTTTCACATTTAGGTAAGGATTTCCTCTTGCTAATCTAGGTGAGATTTGAGCAAGGCCTTCATAATTCATAAAGAACAAGAGGAAATATTGTATGGCTTGCTGTCATCTCTTCTTTAATGCACATGCCTCCCACTATGAAGAAGTCAACACTATTAGGTCATTTTCCAAATTTAAGTCTCTCCAAAGTGCCATTGAGTTGGACTAGACCCTGATGACATGTAAGAAGTTGAGAAAAATGAGGGAGCTGCATACAAATCATTTTCAATTCATTTAGGAAAGCCAGAGCATGAGCACAGGGACAATCTTACCTTTGAAAAGTGAAAAGCAAGCTTTTACTTAAGATTGCGTTTGATGAAATAGCCTAGGGCCAAGGTTGGAATTTTTCAACTTGCTCTGCAAAAACAAAACAAAACAAAACAAAATGTTTCCATGTTCTCTCGATAGGTAGCTAGAAAATGAATTTTTTATTTCCCATTTTCATATGAAGTGACTTTGAGCTAGCTGATAGAAGATGTATCCAATGAGGACTTAGGAATATTACATTTAAAAAGACAAATACAATAAAGTTTTATATTAAAAAGATATTAAATATTTTGCATCTGAATAGTCCGTATCTATCATGAAAGAAAAATAAAATTAATTTCACTTAAGATCATACAGGACAGACAAAGCAAGAACAGGAAAACCCAAATCTTTTCTCAAAGCAATAAATACTTGACTGTACTACTTTTAAAATATGCTTGTGCTTAAAGCTTACACGTGGCTGCCAATGAATCTGTTGTATAATGTTATTTAGTTCACAAAGCTGAATAATCAGTTTTACCAGAATGCAGGCAAGGGGAAAATAATTTTTAGAAAAAAATTTGTTTAATGTTTTTTATATGGAGCTGCCACAGGATACGTACAAAGCATCGCATTGTTAACTAGCATACAATTCCATGATAGATGAGCGTTTTTATTTTGGGCAGCTTTTCACATAATTTAGATGGGCGGTCCTCCCTAATTCCCTCCCCTGCCTGCCTCAGATGGTGGGTCAGCAATCTATATTTGCTCACCACTTTGTTATCTTGACACAGTTCACAATGCAAAACATCTGGAGCTATGGATGAGTTCATATAGTCCAAAACTATAGGTTTTCCCCCGAAGAGTATTTTTCATCATATTTTAAAATATCAATTACTTCCTCTAAATGCATAGCTCACCAATTCTCTAACTTCAAGATATCAAATGAGTATATAAACCAGAGAACCCTCCATTGTGCCCCCAGACTCACAGCTGGAGGAAAGAGTCCACATTATCTATCCCCTGTCAAAGTTTACTTAGTATACATTTCCTAACTACTGCATGCTGGCCACAGTTTTCCATGATTGCTTTTCCTCAAGTTTCATGAGAAGACAGTTTTAATGTATATGTTTTCATGCCCACCCTCAAAACACTTTCAACATTGCAATCTAGCTAGCACCCCTGTGTAAATGGCACTTCAACCTAATACTGATTCTCTGTATGGCAATACTGCATGTATTACTTAACCTTCTTTAAAAAATTATATTTTTATTGATTTCAGAGAGGTATGGAGCGGGAGAGATAGAAATATCAAGGAGGAGAGAGAATCATTGACCAGCTGCCTCCTGCACACCCCAGACTGAGGGTCGAGCCCGCAACCCAGGCATGTGCCCTGACCAGGAATTGAACTGGTGAACTCTTAGTTCCTGAGTCAATGTTCAAATGCTGAGGCACACCCAGCTGGGCTATTATTTAACCTTTACTTCTCTCCTGCTCTCCCCCATCTCTAATGCACTAGTTATATAGTTATAGGGAAAACTAAGGCAAAACATGTTTTCACTATCCTTTTTCTTCTTCCTAAAATCACTAAAACAAAACCTTCTAAGTTAGATAATCTCAAACTCAACACTTTTAACCCCTTCCCCGGCAGAAACGTGTATACTCGTTTTCACAAAATGTTCTTTTTCAGTCGTCGACGAGTATACTAAGAAAATATGGTAAAAAGATATGGTTTATAGGAAGACGAGTTACAAACTGTTTTCATAACCAGCATCAAAAATACTATATAGAACCAAAATAAAAAAATTAGTCTGAAAAAGAAACGTTTTTAACAAAAAAATTGTTGGGGAAGGGGTTAACTAACTCATTGTTTTGTTCCATATACATACGGCAAATAGTTCCATATATACTTTTTTATGAAAAATTAAACTTTGGTATTTTGATGAAGGTGCTCAATAGAAATTAAAAGTATTTTATAAATGCTTTAATAAGCATTTTTGTAAAGCTAATATTGACTGAGATCAAGGACTTCATAGCTGCCTTGTACTCTGCCGTGTTCAAATCCAGCATATGATGCCGTGCCAGCTAAGGTACCATAAATTAAGTTCAATATTTTATGCACTTTAATCAACATTTAAAATACAAAGTTATTTTGCAAGTGCATATCTTTGCATTGTTTCAATGGACAGCTTATAGGCTAAGAAATAGTTTACAGAAAGTGGATTTTGAGTCTATGTAAAGAATACATATCTAGCAATTGGAATTGTTCAGCATTAAAAGGAGGCTAAAAGATGCCAGGGATGTGAAAGAAGGAGACAAAAGCATCTTGAAGATCCTTTTTTGCTCTTAAGTATCTGTTTTTCTCATTAGTAAATTGAGTCCAATTTTCTTTCTCTTCTGGTTTCCTCCAGTTCTTTCTTCTTCAGAGATCCATCACAGGCCACCTGCTTTCTTACATTGCTCCTCACTACAAGTTACAGACACTTAGCTTCAGGTTATTATTTTCTGTAACCATTGTGTATGTTATATAAACTATGTGTATTTCTTCCTAGTTTGACTCTTCCTGACTCCAGTGTAAACACAGTCAAGGGCTCCCTGAAGTAGTTACTATAATTTAAAAAACTATATATAGTAGGTACCTCAGCCTGTCCTGGGCCCTCTCGCAATCCGGGACCCCTCGGGGGATGTGGAACTGCTGGTTTTGGCCGGATCCCCACAGGCCAATGGCCTGCAGTCCCTGAGAGATACAGTAGTGTGTGAAGCTGCAGGTGGCCAGAGAGGAGCCCAAGCCTGGGCCAGGTGCCACACTGCTCCTGCTCATCCTGGCCCCGCTGCACCTGCTGCTGCCTGCTACAGCGGTCGCTCAGTAGCGTTGCTGCAGAGGTGCACTAGCTAGCCATGAGCCCGGCGTTGGGCACCCATGGGTCAGCTGAGTGGCATATACATATGTGTGTGTGTGTGTATATGTGTGTGTGTGTGTGTGTGTGTGTGTATTTTAGAGTCCCGGTGCATGAAAATTCATGCACTGGGGGTGGGGGTCCCTCAGCCCAGCCTGCCCCCTCTCACAATCTGGGAGCCCTCAGGGGTGGAAGATAACCCGGAATCAGGGGAAGGCGATGCCCCATCACACCTCTGTTGCTGCCACTGCTGATAGCACAAGGCTTGGCCGGCCCTGGTTACCTAAGCCTCAGGTGGCCCTGGGCAGCTGGGAAGCTGCTATCTGAGGCTTGCCTACACCTTGGGTGCGGAGCGGCCAGGTCAGCCTTGGGGAAGGCCCAGCCTTGCCAATTGGCTGCCACCCTGGCGGGGCTGAGGGAACTGGGTGCCCTCATCCTGTGGCTGTGGGCACCGCCATCTTTGAGGGTGGGGCAGTCAATTAGCATATTCCCTCCTTATTGGCTCTGGATGCTGCCATCTTTGAGGGTGGGGCAGTCAATTAGCATATTCCCCCTTATTGGCGACAGGGCAGTCAATTAGCATATTCCCTCCTTATTGGCTGTGGGCGCCACTATCTTTGTGATGTGAGGGTCAGTTAGCATATTCCCTCTTTATTAGATAGGATAGATTTATATATGGCTATATTAGGTGGTGGGTTGGTTATTGTTTCCTTAACATTTTGAAGGA